AAACAAGACTTCAAGACCACGGCCACACAGCCCGGAAGACCCACACCAGCCATCAAATAAACAACCCCTGTGAGAAAGGCTACCCATACAGGTAACGCATTTGCTATTCATCACCCACCAGGCACAATGCTAGCCTTTCTGCCTGTTCATTTGCTCACTCCCCAGTTATGGCTCACCACCAAGGATGAAGAGGAATGGTTGCCTCCAAGCCTGAGTTTTGTGAATGTTTCTCTCCCTGGGTCAGGTAGCCCTTCCAGTGCTCCTGCTGGGCAGATCCTCTGATCTTCGGCCTGGGGAGTTTGTGGTGGCCCTGGGGAGTCCCTTCTCCTTGCAGAACACGGTGACCACAGGAATCGTCAGCAGTACCCAAAGGGATGGCAGGGAGCTTGGGATGAAGGACTCCGACATGGAATATATCCAGACAGATGCCATTATCAACGTAAGAGACTTCTCTGTGGCTTTTCCAGGAGAAGGTGGAGCTGCCCTAATTTTGGGCAAACTATTGGGTTACCACCCCTTGTCAAGTAGTTGATGCAAAAACTCCTTCCTGCCACCTTCTCCCCCTTCCACAATTTTGATTTCTGTTTCATATCTACCTTCTCTTAGAGCCGGCAGTGGAATGGAAGGGGGTGGACTCATGTATATACTGAAGCTGCATGTGGACTTGAACTCCAATTTGTAGATCCCAAAGCATCCTGGCTCATGCCTCTGAAATTTGGCAGCATGCTAAAGGTTGCACAGCCCAGAGGGAAGCCTTTAGAGGCAAATATGTGTAGCTCAGGGTTGAACTGTGGCGTCCTTGGGGTTCTCTGAGTTCTTTTCTTGCAAACGTTTCATTACCCTTCGGTGAAGAAGTTACCTAGCCAGGTAATGAAACATTTGCAAGAAAAGGACCAAGCTCAGAGAGCCCCAAGGGCTCCACAGGAAAGCCTTTGTTCTGTTGAGTAGGGCTCTTATATTTTTAAGCTATTTGGGCCAATCTGGCAGCAGAAATCATTTCCATGAGATGATCAGTCCCTTCTTTTCTCATTCACAGTATGGAAATTCAGGAGGGCCATTGGTGAACTTGGTAAGATTTATTTTTTCTTTTTCTTTTCTAAACCCCAACGGTGTTCCACCTTGCTGAAGATTTCCCAGGGTTTATTATTTTTGAACACCATGCTTAGTTTAACTGTGGTTCATTGAATAAGCAACAGTTGTTTGGATACACACAACCAAAAAGCCCAAACCACAGTATTACTCAGAACGTATTCCTCTGTCATTGAGGGCTTAATCTAGAGTGATAAAAAGTGAATTGTGTGACATGTAATCATAACAGAATAAAATGCTGGAGGTTTTTTTAAATTGTTCAGGGCTGTGGACTATGGGCTATTTATTTACAGAGCTATGTAAATTTGGGACAATATGTTTTGGCAAAAATACCATTTATGGAATTTGGTTTACATGCATTGGATGTATTCAGAAGTATTCTTAGGTATTTGGTTTTATTTCTTAAAAAAAATGGGGAAAAATCTCTCTATGTTTGATACAGCCCTTGATTTTATTGTAATCTCCCATCCTCTACCACTTAAGTACTGGTCCTACTGATTTTGTCTTATGATCAAACATCACAGTGAGCCTTCATCTGTCTAAGCTATTGTTTGATTAACTAGCCAGAAACAAGCTGAGTTCAGTCTGGCCCAGCAGCCAAGTAACCATTGCTTATTTGGATAATTCCTGGCTGGTTTTCCTTCCTGTTTAATTGTTTTGCTTCACAGCACTAGTAAACTAATGAATTAATTAAAGCAGGATTGGCAACTTTTTCAAGCGCTGGCCACTGTCACAAAATTTTACATGAAGATACAGGGACACCCTAAAGAAAACAATTATTTATTCATTTCGTAGACTTAGAAGCTGCCTGACTCCAGAATGACTCTGGAGGGTTTACACTTAAAATAGAAAAGCAGTAAAAAAAAAAAATAGAAAGAATCTAAGCATCTGGACAAATTGTACAACCAACACCTAGAGTAGGGTGGTTGTACCACAACCACCCTACTCTAGACCCCATAGCTCAATGTATATCATACTAATCCAGAGTGTAATCTGTTGGCCAAAACCCAAGTATAGTTTATTTCCCTAAGACAAACCAAGATTTAGCGGCTGACCTTGTTCACTCATCAGTTTTAGCTTAAACCAAATAAAATTCACAATAGCCAAAGTCAGCCACGGTAGACCTTGGAAGGTTGCATTAAAAGGTCCACTCCCTTTCCGAAATCCTCCTCCAAGATGAATCTTTCTTTCATTCCCACCTGCTCCTCTCAACAGGATGGTGAAGTCATTGGAATGAATACCCTGAAGGTTACAGCTGGCATCTCCTTCGCCATCCCCTCAGATCGAATCCGCCACTTTCTGGAAGAATCTCACAACCGACAGGTGAAAGGTAGTATCTCAGAAAATTGCTAAGGTGACTTGTGGATACAGCCAATACAAAGTATGGTAGCAATGACACCATGGGAGAACATTGAACTGCTGTGTTAATGAACCCTTATCTTTTCATCTCTTTTTACTTGGCCTTTGAAGCATGCTTTCACTTCCTGCCTCTCTCTAGGTAAGATTACACCCAAGAAGTATCTGGGACTCCGGATGGTACCTCTTACTTTCAAGTAAGTGCTGTTTTCCTGTTCCTCTGCCCTTCCAACCTTCCTGTTCTCACACAGACTCCATCCATCCATCCATCCATCCATCCATCC